CTACGAACCGCGCGTTTTCATTAACCGTATCTATTTCGTGAGACCGAGGATTAATGCGCTTACACGGCGGCAACCGGTATAAACCGTTTCGACGTGGAGTCGCGTGCAACGTTCGAAACCTTTGGAAATATAATCCGGAATCCGGGATAAATAACTGGAACGATTCGTGTATATTATGCGGGGGAGGGGGCGTGGAGGGGCGACAAGTTTGAAATCTCGCTCGGTTCATGCTTGGTCGTGTTATCGATGAAATATTCATGGACGTATCTCGCTTCGATTTTGCCCGAGCTCAAAGGGAGGGAAGATCGAATTCATGCGGAAATTTGTGCGAATATGGATTGACGCGCACGGATAAATTACGGGGTCGTGGCTTCGAGGAGGAGAGATTTTGTGCGCGGTGTGCTCTCTCGAGTTTTTTATCTCGTGTGATATGAGAAATGCTGTTTATTTTGGGAGGGGGAAGAGTTTAGAAAAAGGAATATTTAATCGATCAGTTGGAAAATGATTCGAATATTCTTGGGAATTCGTAAAATTCTTTTGGATTCACGGAGGAGGCAAAAATAGAAAGGTAAATAGTATTGAAATTTTTTCTCAAGTTTGATATTTTTTAATTGAGACGGAATACTTTTGTTTGTTGCGTTCGATATATTTAACTCGCTGCTTCGAAATTAAAATCGCGATGCCAAACTTGAATTGCTTGCTTGCAAAAATAAACTTGAGAATATTGTTGCGAGATTGATTTTTAATCAACGAAAAGAAAACATCAAACATTCGCGCATTGGAGTAAAAAAATAAAAAAATAAAAAAAACGATCGACAATAGAATATATTTTTTATAAAAATAAACAAACGTAGCTACGTATCGCAATTGCATTGTTATTCCAGATAAAAAGGAAACAATATACACTCTCTCTAAATCTAAATTAATTTTGTCTCAATTCGTGCCCTGTAAAATATCGACGATAAAATAAAACAAAAAAAAAAAAAAATACAATTCATATTTCGCGTATATTATCTATATACAACTCGTATCGAAATAAAATAAAATAAAAATTTCGAACGAAGAAAAGAAAGATTGCTGAACACGTAAATCTGTCGAAAACGATTCGAATTTACTTCGAATGGGATTTTTAAATTCAATCGTCAGAAATACAATTTCTCGAATTGATCAATCGTTCGACCTTTCATCCTTCTTTCTTTCGCAATTTTGCAAAGTTAAAAAATAAAATAAAACAACGACCGCTTAGTTGTTTGTCTCAATCCCATGGAAAATTTTTGCTTTGACGGATCGTTTCATCTATTTTTATGCAACTTTTCGCGTATCGCCGTGCCGAAGTGGCACAAAGGACATAATTGTCCTCTGAAAACGAGGTTAACTGGCTTTTTTTTTTCCACTTGCATGTATTTCGTCCCTCTCTCTTTTTTATTTCTATGCCATCCGAAGTGTTTCTACTTAGAAACTAATTTGCCCACTGGAAAGTTGTATATATTTTGCTCGTAAGATGTTGATTCGTATCACTTGCTTGAGATTAAATGAGAACGTTTTACGAGTGGAAAAATTTTATCTTTTAAATTCGTTAAAAAAGAATATGCCTTTAAATTTTGAAATTTTTTAAATACGCAATATTACGTATCATATTGTTCGAAGAGAAATGCATTTACAATATGTGATCTCATCTATTAAATCGTTTCATTAAACATTGTTTTTTTTACGAATTAAATTTCAAAAATCGATAGAAAATATAACTATTAATAATTTAATTAAATTTTTAATAAACTTTTAAATTTTTACTGGTATAAATTATTTAAATATACCAGTTTCAAATTGAAGCTAACTCAATATCGAAACCGGAGAATATAAAAATATACCAGAAGAAAGCGTATTCTTTTTTTAAATATAAATTTCTCAAAATAATTTCCACGTGATTCGTGCTATTATGATTCTCAGACTCCCCCAAATCCATTTTAAAATATCAAAATTACAAAATCGCATACTTAAACGCCCCTCCCCTCTCCTCTCTTAATTTCGAATATTACGAATAAAATTAAATAGAAAATTTCTAATCAACGATAAAAGAAATCTTTATTATCCCTATGTGGCTCGAATGCGATATCAAATAGCTTTGTTATTTTTTTATGGTTTACTCACGAATGATAAATCAGAGGGGAGGAAGTGGCCTCGTCGAACGAGGTAGAAACTTCACCATGGCGTTGTGTCCATTACATCGTTCATGGTCGTTTTATACGCTTTTCCCCTCTCCCTTTCCAGGCTTTGTAAAAGTGATTCTAATAGGGAACGCGAACTTTTCCCACGACGCGTATTCGCGCACGTCTTTCGTTCGACTGCGTACGGGCTCGACGTCTCGTAAACAAAAGCGTATCGTCGAGTAATAACAATTTGCCCGATCGAACGTATATCTCTCTAGATATAAATATATATAAATAGAATTTATAATTCCGGTAATTCTTAATATAAAGTTGCGTATTTTATTTTATATATATATATTTATTTTATATTATATATTTATTATATATTTATTATTATTTTTTTTAATATTATATTATTTTAATATTATACTATT